TTTTTCTTTCTTTCTTTTTGTGTTGTAGATTCCTAAAGGTGGTTAAGGAGCCGGAGCCACGGGGGAGACTTCCCAGGAGAAACCCTTCGGTCTGCTTGTCTCCACAGGCCTGGCGCCCACATGAACGCCGCTCCCGGGCCGGGCTGGCTCGCGGCCCTCGGAACCTCAGCCTGCAGTGACATCCCCGCGCCGTGCAGCTGCTCGCCTTTTCTTTCTTTTCTTTTTACAGCATGCTCCTCGCGGCCCAGCTCCTCCCAGGGCCCGGGCTGGCCACCTCTTGGGGGCAGGTCTGTCCCCATCTGGGTCCCCACCCCACGCAGGACCATGGAAGGCAGCTAGACACGTGCTCCCTTGTTCCCCACCCCTGCCTTGGCCCTCAGTCCACCTGGCCCGTCCTGGCCTGTCCACGGTTCACACTGTGCCTTTTGTGAAAACTTTGCCACTGGTCTCCTGGGGAGACTAACAGAATCTGGACAAGGAGGGTCAGGCGCGTACCACGTGGACTGAGCGCCCGAACGTCATCGCTGGTGTCACGTCGTTTACGTTAGAAAATACTCATCTTTTCCCTCATCCACTGAGCATCCTTTTCTGATGATGGGTTTTCACCTCATACTAAACATTGATTGGGCCTTGCAACATTTCATGGCCTGAGTGTTGGTGGTGGGCGCTGGGGCGCACACACGTGTACACACACGCTTTTGTTGGTGGTCCTGTCTTCAGTGGCCCAGAAACGTCCACACTGGAAGTCAAATTCCAGCTTGCGGGCCAGCCCTGCTGTCTGGCCTGTGTCCACCTCTCAAGGGGTCGAGGACCGTCCCAGCCCACCTTCCCCGCGCCGTCTCCCTGCGGGGGACAACTACAGACATGACACTGGGTGAACAGGTGTCTCACCTGTGCATTTGTTCGTCGCAAAGAGAAAATTTTCCTTGTTCCACGAATTTCAAGATTTGCATCTTAGGATTTGGGCACTTTTGTCACCAAGCACCCTGTGCTGCTTGTGGAGATCCTGTGGCTCCGGCTTCCACATTTATCACACGCTCGGCAGGCCACGCGGAGCTAACTGAGTTTGCTGTTTGAGCTCCGTTTCCTTCCTCTTAGGAGTCTTTGAGGAAAACATGAGGCCATGTAGCCTATGGCCACTCAAGCCTTGGAGCCGCGTCGCTTCTCTTTTTCTGGTGCAGAAACAGCCGAGAGGAGTCCCTGGCTGTGAGTTTCTGTGAACAAAATACCATCAGAAGCCCAAGGATGAAATCGGGCCTCTTCTTTTGTTTGGCTTTTGGTGGCTCTGTGATCACCTCAAGCATCCTCAAGTCTTCTCTACATTTATGAATCTAAGACAAGGAAGTCTTACGGAAGCCAAAGGGTCAGGGACAGAGACAACAGGTCCCAAGGATTGGGCCTGTG